TTTGCACAGGGAACACGCTACTTTATGTGTAATGCACTTTCAATTGATGCTGAAGAGATCATACTCTACTCTTTCCTGTCCTACCCTGCTCATTTATCTAGTAAATATACATGCTGCTCTTATATCCCATTCCCATTTTACATCTAAATCATGAATGAAATCATCATTGCTACTATCATCCCCTTCATTATACTCCACCCATTCATTCTTAAACCTTCACTTGGCTTGACATCCTCTGGATCGTCTCCAGTCGTACACTTCGTAGGCTTACACCGCCTCGTCGAGGTGAGTGTTATTCTTGATGTGACTGTGGACGTAGTCGTAGAAGTGCTAGTATGGGTCGATGTCTTTGTGACCCACGTATCTGTCGTCTGTAGAGACTGGCACTCTGTTGCCTTTGCGTCTTTAACGGTTTCTGTTGTCGTCGTTGTGGTTGTGGTTGTAGTTGTTATGTTTTTAGTTGTTATTTCGTATGGTTTCACATCTAGTGGCTTCAATCCATGGCATTTACTTTCTATCGTTTTGCATAGATCATCACAATCACATTCCTTTTTAAATCCACATCCTTTTAGTAAATCATGGCATATCTCTCTCAATTCTACGTAGAGTCCAAATGCTTGTGCAACCAAATCAAATGCTTTCGCTTCGTCTTCTGTTACTTTCACTGTTGCATCTCTTCTTATAAGTCTAAACAACTTCGTGTCTTTTGTTCCGCTGGGTACAGCTGGTGCACTAGGCACAACTTCGTTTGCCGATTTATTGTTTTCTACTTTCGCTTTTGATAAAACAAGATTTGCTTTTTCCATTGCATCTTTTGCTTTTTTTTTGATATCCTCATATTCGTTAGCTTTTTTCTCCAACTCTTTACTAGTCTCTGCAAGTTTTTTCTGTAATTCAGGGCATTGACTTTTCACTTGTTCTACTAGTTTTTCGCAAAGTTTTTTCCTAACTTCAGTATCGTTCTTGCTATTAGTAGTATCAGTGCATAGAGTTTCAAGCCCATTACTTGCATTAGCCCATTGTGTGCAGTATTTGTCAAGCTCCCCTTTACATTTTTTTCTTGTATTTAAATGACCCTTCAATTGATCAACTACTTTCAGTTCCAATTCCTTCTTTTTGATGAACGTTTCACATTCCTTGTTAAGCTCCTTACATTTTCCATCACCGGCAATTAGACTTTGGCAACTTGACATGAATTTGCTGCAATAGGGTGTCCAAGAATCACATGTTTCTTCCATTGTTTTTTCTTCTTTCGCTTTATCCAAAACACCATTTGTTTTCATACGTGCCTTCAATGTAGTACACTTAGATTCTACGCTTTTTGTAAGAATCTTGCAAGTAATATTCTGTGCTACACATGCAAGAGCAAAACGAGTTCTTCCTCTTTTACTCCATTCATGGCATCGTTTTCCTAAATTTTCTAAACATAAATCGAACTTGTCCAAATCCTTCACTTTTTCTTCCAACAACCTCTCTTCCAATTGTTCTGCAATCTCCAGCCTATTACAATGGTGTTTCAACGTACGACAGGGCCATTTGATTTCTTCTGAATCTTGTTCTAAATCTTGACATTTCTTCAGTAATTCCTCGCAATCTTGTCTCGTAGGAAAATCTCGTCTTTCATTTAAATCTCCTTGCAACAAGTTTGTCCTCGTATGTAAATCCGTTAATACTGTAAGAGCTCCTTCTGTTGGTTTTACACATAAAACGAATAATTCATCGCTCTCCCCTTTGAGATCTACACATGTCTTTACCAAATCTTTTTGAAGTGTTTCAAACCATGTATCGTTTCTATTATGGAATTTCCCTCTCATTTTGTCTTGTAATGCTTGGTTTGCTAATGCATCAAGGCCTTTTTTATAACACGCTGCTTTAACATTCTTACATATTTTTTCAAAATCTGTTTGGCCTTCAAAATAAAAACAGTCTGATTGTAACCCTACACAATCATTTTCTGTAAGAAATTTCGGTAATTCACCCCATAATTTAATTTCTTTTTCAAATAAATTGCTTCTAAACTTTACTTCCAGAGAGTCCTTTGTTTCTTGAAATTCTTCTTTAAATTCTTTACATTTCTTTGTATAATTGCTCTTATTTCCACATAAATCTTTTAGACCCTGTGTTAGATATTCAATAGAACTACATTTAGTATTGAGTACACTCTGGCATTGTGTGTCATCAAAAGGGTTACTTCCTGACAGAAACACTAATAGATCAACAATATCTCTTTCCAGTGCTCTTTGAATTACAACTCCTTGTCTTGCCGCTTCTTTGTAAAGTTCTTCCAAACCTATTTTTTCCGCCAGTGTAGCTTCTGGTTTTGTAGGATCAAATTTTAAGCCTGGTGGTATATAAGTTATTCCTGCATCTTTACATTTCTTTTTCAAGTTATTACAATCTGGATTTTCTGTTTTACAGCTCTCATAGTGGAAATGACATTTTTCAAGTAATTTTTCAAGTAAAGAATGCTCTTTTTTTTGTAACTTCCCATCAGTAGTTAGTACTTTTCCTATCTCCGTTTTTAAAGAAGCACATTTATCCTTTATTGTTTGTACTAAAGATGTACATAGAGATTCTGTATCAAAACATTTTTGCATTAATTCGTTACTTTCTTGGCCTAACAAAAGACAAACATTTTCAATCTTTTTTTTGCACAGGTCCTTATCTTTAAGATCACCATTAAGCGCTCTTAAAAGAGCTTTTTCTGCCACTTCATCACGTTTCTTTTGATAACATTTATTTCTTAAGTCATTACACTTCTCTTTAAGATCATCAGAGCATGCTCCTTCTAAAAACAAACATTTTTGCTCATTATTTTTGCAATCGTTGTCTTTCAATTTTGAAATACTTTTTCCACTTTCTGTTTTAAGTTCATTCATGAATACGGTGCATTTTGCTTTAATCTTTTCTTTTAATCCTGTGCACTTTTTTTCTGCTGTTTTATCTTCTTTACATACTTTCTGTAGTTTTTCATCTACTTTATCTAATCCAGGATTTATAGTTCTTAAACCTTTGCAGTATTCTTTCAGTTTTTTTTTGCACTCTGTTTCTTCTAATTTATCTTTCAAGATCAACGCCAAAAGATAATCCTCATCATCATATACATTTTGCACGCCTTGCGTCACTTGTGCTTGCCGCTTAACCGCCCGCGCCACCGCCCGCGCCAAGCTGTGCCTGACGGCGGTGGGTTTGCACTGTGGTGTGTGGCTGAGTTTGAGTTTCCGTTAATGTGTTTTGACTACATGTGAGATGTTAGAACCATGTCTTCAAATTTAAGTATTAAATTATTCTTAATTTTAAGGGAGTTCAAGTAAACTTAGTGATAAGACTTGTCAGAGAAGCAGTGTGTACCAAATACATTTAAAGGTGCCCGCTTTCTTTAACGTGTAGTTGGCAACTTCGCGATATTTTAAATTTGTGTGGGGGTAAATGCGGGGTAAACGCGGGGTAATAGCAAAATTTGAATAAATAAAAGGTAGAATATAAAAGGACATAAATGAGAAATAAAGGCTATTTAGACAAAGAATAGTGGCCAATTAGACGGAGGAACACGTGATTTCATGTGTAATGCACTTTCAATTGATGCTGAAGAGATGACTCAATCTACTTTACTCTTTCCAGTCCTACCCTGCTCGTTTATTTACTAAATATACATGCCCATCATTAAATCCTATTCATTTACTTTTTAAATCATTATTGAAATCATCATTGCTAATATCACCCCCCTCATCACGCTCCACCCACTCATCTTCAATCCCTCACTCGGTTTCACGTCTCCTGCATCATCCCCTGTCGTACACTTGGTTGGTTTGCATCGCCTCGTTGATGTCAATGTTATTTTTGATGTGATGGTAGATGTGATGGTAGATGTGCTTGTGTGTGTCGATGTCTGTGTAACCCATGTATCTGTCGTCTGTAGGGATTTGCATTCTGATGCCTTCGGATCGGTAACGGTTGTTGTTGTCGTCGTGGTCGTCGTTGTGCTTTCTGTGACTATTTCGTGTGGCTTCACCTCCAGAGGCTTCAGATCGCTACATGTTTTCTCGATCTTTTTGCATACATTTTCTAGATCTTTACAATCGTCTTTAATCCCGCAATCCGATTTTAATTTCTCACATCTTTCCTTCAAATCTACATATCTTCCAAATACTTCTGCTGCCAAATCAAATGCTTTGGCTTCCAATTCTGTCACAAGTACATCCTTAACTCCTCTCCGTAGTATTTTCACATGTTCTGTGGTATCTTGAAATCCGTTTGAAACGGCATTCTTATCCTTTTTGCTATTATTTTTCGATGTATTATTCCCGTCTTTTTTAACGAATGATAAAACAAGATTGGACTTGTTCATTGCTTTCTTTGCCTTTTCCTTAAGTCCTTCATATGTCTTATGATCTTCTTCTAAGTCTTTTTCTGGTTGTTCTAGTTCTTTTGGTAATACTTTACATTGCTGTTCTACCTCTTCTACTAATTTATCACAGAGCTCCTTCCTAACATCTTCATCATTCTTCTTAGGGTTATTCTTGGTGTTATCTTTACATAAACTTCTGATAGATTCATTATTTAATTTTCCTAATTGTGTACAATATCCCTCCAATGCTGTAGTACATTTCTTTTTATCACTCAACTTTCCTCGAAGCTCTGCCTTAAGTGCGTCTTCTAAAGCCTTTCTTTCATAAAATGGTTTACAATGTTTTTTAATTTTTGTACAAGTATTTCCTTTAAGACTTTGGCAATTAGGTGAAAATTTGTCACAATATGGGTCCCAAAATGGGCAAACATTTCCTAATGTTGTTATGTTATTCGTGTTATTTTTAAGAAACTCAACGATCTCTGCAACCTCTATATTTTTCTTGAATACTTTGCACCTATCTTGTACGTCTTTTACCATCAGCTCACACGTAGCATTTTGGAAGACACATACAAAAGAGAAACGATCATCTCCTCTTCTAGACCATTTATGGCATTTTTCCTTTAAATATGTTACACAGTTTTCATGAGTTTTCAAAGTATCCTTGTGTTCATTCAGTAAAACCTGCTTCAAGATTTCTGTAGTCCCCAAGCGATTGCATTGCTGCTCCAGTGTATGACATGGCCATTGAATCTGATTTGAATCCTTTCCTAAAGCTTCACACTTTCTCCCCAATTCCTTGCAGTCTTTATCTGTCGGAAAATCTCGCTTTTGATCCAACTGTTGTCGTAAAAAGATAACTCTCATTTGATGATCGTGTGTAAGCAACCGGGCCGCTTTTGCTGGCTGTACACACAGAACAAATAGTTCATCGTTTGAAAAACTTCCTTTATTTTCTTCTTTCAGTTTCTCACATACTTTTACTAATTCTTGTTGAAATTTCTTAAGCCAATCTTTATTTGAACCATGCAATAACCTACGCATATTTTCTTGCAGTACTTTATTTGCTCGTGCATCAAGTCCTCTTTTGTAACACGCTGCCCTTACATTCACACATGCTTTTTTACCATCTGGACATGCTTCTTTATAATAAAAGCAGTAAGATTCTAGTCTTGCACACTCTTCGTTACTAAGAAATGTTGGCAACCCTCCCCATCCAAGAATTCCATTATTTCCTTTTTTTGGGTCAAAAAGACGATTATTTGTAAGTTTTGACATAAGAATATCACATGTTCTTTTGATATCTTTTTCTAGCTCATCACATTTTTTCGTTCCATCATCACTTAGACCACTTTCCTTACATAAACTATTCAAGGCCTCATGTTCTTGTGGGGTTTTGCATTTTTTCTCAAGAGCTTTTTTGCATTTTTCTTTATTATCATTACCTGCTGCACTTGGGTCTTGAATTAACAACGCCAACAAAGCCGTTGCATCTCTTACATGTTGTCTCCCAATAAAAACACCATCCTCTTCTGCCTTCTTATAAAGCTCTTCCAGATCTATGTCTTCTGCTAGTGTAGCCTCTGGTCTAGTTGGATCAAAATCGGGTCCAGGTGGTATATAAACAATGTTTTGTTCCTGGCATTTCTCTCCCAATTTAATACATTCAATTATATCGTCTTCTTGGCAGTTTCCAACGTAAAAATAACATTCTTCAAGTAATGATAGGCATTTTTCTTTTTTAAAACTTCCAAGTGCTACTGAAACATCTGTTTTAAGAGTACTACATTTTTTATTTTTTTCCTTTATAATATTATCGCACGTATTTTTCTGGTTCAGACACAAGTTTGTTAACTCGTCACTTTCCTTTCCTAAGATTGGGCAAACCTCTTTAAGATTTCCTTGACATGTAGTTTCATTAGTTAAATTTCCGCGAAGCGCCCTCAAAAGGACATCTTCTGCTACTCCGTTACGTTTTTTCTGGTAACATAGATTTCTTAGTTTGTTACAATCTTCTACAAGATTAGGGCATGCTCCCTCAAAAAATAAGCATTGTTGTTCATTTTTCGTACACTCATCATCTTTTAATGCTGAAATATCTTTTGTTGTCTCTTGTTTTAATTTTCTTTGAAATTCAGTGCATTTTTTTTCAACATTATCTTTTAATTTTTTACATTTTTCTGTTTCTGTTCCTTTTTTACAAAAGTCCTTAAGTTTTTTGTGAACTTTTTCTGGTTCTAATTCTGCATCTGTTAATGCTTTACAATATTCTTCTAATTTTTCTTTGCATTTTTGTTCATTTTTATAATCGTCTTTTGCAATTAAAGCCAAAAGATACTCTTCATCATCATATACACTTTGTACTCCTTGCGCTACTTTCTGTGTCTGCCGCTTAACCGCCCGCGCCACCGCCCGCGCCAAGCCGTGCCAGATGGGGGTGGATTTGCGTTGTGGTGTGTGGCTGAGTTTGAGTTTCCGTTAATGTGTTTTGATTTCATGTGAGATGTTA